CACACACACACACACACACACAGACGCACGCACATCCACGACTACATTCGCATGAAAATGAAGAAAGGCACACGGAGTTATTCGTACAATATTGACACCTCTTCCTTAGCTTTGCTTTTGGTTGTTTAAAAAAATATACCCATCTATCTAGAACAAATCGAGATAATTGTGACTGAAGAATGTGGGCAATGATTTATTTTTTTTAAAAGCAAAATTCACACAGAAATAAATGTGCTTTTAAATGGAAATGAAATTGTTTACCCAATTAGAGAAAATTTGGAAGAAAAAAATTGCCTAGTGGGCGGAAAATTAGACATTAATATGTGAGGCAGCGTGGTGGAATCAGGCTCTCGTCAATTTTTGGGCATGTACGGTTATTAATACCATTTTAAAGCTTGTTAACATTTGGATTTTAAAAAATATCCATTTCTTTTGAATACAAGTCGAGATATTTGCGAAAGAAGGGGGTGGGGGTCACCTGTTTTCAGAGGTAAAACTAGTGAGAAAATGGCCGCCAAAGATCAGTAATTTCCTTAGCTGAAGATTCCGTTGTAACTGAAAATTTACATTTTTGTGTGCCTTTAATCAACGTTTTCCTGAAAAAAAAAACCCACACAGAAATGAGTTCTTCAATGGACATGAAGGGTGTTGAGCCAAAAAACAAAAAATGGATAAAAATTCACAAACCTGCGGAAAAAGGCAAGTTTCTTCACTGATTATTTTGACGAGAGCTTGATTCCACCACGCTGCCTCACAAATAGACATTAATTTGTTCGATTTCATTATTTTGACGATTGACATGCATGCATGTAATAATACATTAGGTAAACATGTCGTTTGGCTATTCCTAGAGACCAGCAGCGGACCATCGTTCTAGCCTGTTAAGCGCATACCGATTTTTATTACTCGCATTAAGTCGATCCGATTCGATCCGACATGTCGCTTGTGTGTCCACCCCCAGTAACCTTGCCTTCCTGGAGAACTTCCCGACGCTCAAACTGCTGGAGGAGGCGGAGGGCAACGTCTATTTGGCTTATTTCAGGTGAGCAACAGGGCGGGTATATTAGAATAATTGTATGTGAGATGTGCTGACAAAATGAGTTACTTCCCACGACCCAAGAAAGGAGATGCACGCCGCTACCACCAGATAAATCTAGTCTATGGACCATTGTGTTCCTGAGATGTCCCGCCAGCTATCGTGCTAGAACCCGTCTGCTGGGACATTTCAGTAACCCACTTTCAGCACTTTTTAAGGACCCCCGGGCGAGTGTTGGGTTCCTGCGTGCTGTCGGCATCGCTGACCGTTTATGAAGCCAGAGAGCCAGAAGAGAGAGAGAGAGAGAGAGAGAGAGAGAGAGAGAGAGAGAGAGAGAGAGAGAGAGAGAGAGAGAGAGAGAGAGAGAGAGAGAGAAATATAGTGGGACTTGGAGGAGAGCGGGGAAGTAGCAGGGGTGCTCACTGCCCACAATCCTTCGTCCCCAATTATTATTATAATATGTGGGCTGTGCTGACAAAATGAGTTCGTTCTCGGATTTCAGCCTTATGGAAATTGATACATCAACTTGATAGGTGAAGTTTGTACAAATTTGTGAGCATGGAATAGTAAAAGACACAGTAAACGTGAACAAAATGACATCAATTGAAAATCTATAAATCTGACCCCAGTGTCGATTTTCAGCCGATATCTCCTTTCTTGGATCGTGGGAAGTAACTCATTTTGTCAGCACATTTCACAATTAATATTAAATAATAAATAGCATTTGTATAGCGCATGTCCCCACTCGAAAGCACGTTCTATGCGCTTTACACTATATTATTACCCCAACAGACCATAGAACACCCAGAAACATTCTCAGCTTCCCGGGAAGCATACAGTGCAAGCAGCCTTTTATAGGCGCTAAAACACTAGCATACTGACACAATTTTTTCGCTGTCTATGGCCGGGTACCCATTCCCACCTGGGTGAAGGGAGGAAAACTCGTGTAAAGTGCCTTTCCCAAGGATACAACGTCAGGCCCGCGGCTCGAACCCCCGAACCCGCAACCTCACGATTTCGAGTCCGGTAGTCTAACCACTGGGTTATGTCATCAGGAGTATTGTTCCTTCCTTCCTTCCGTATTCCTCCACATTTGTCTTCTGTCCTCGTTTTGTTTAAACATATTATTCAATATCTGTCAGTCTGTCTGTCTGTCTGTCTGTCTGCCTCACTCTATGTATCTCTCTCTTTCTCTCTCTCTCTGTCTCTCTGTCTGTCTGTCTGTCTGTCTGTCTGTCTCTCTCTCTCTCTCTCTCTCTCTCTCTCTCTCTTTCTCTCTCTCTCTGTCTGTCTGTCTCTCTCTCTCTCTCTCTCTCTCTCTCTCTCTCTCTCTCTCTCTCTCTCTCTAAATGCATGCCCCATCCCCGCCCCCTTTCAAATACAAGCACCCCAAAACCACCACACAGGCATACCCCCCACCTCCTCCTTCCTTCCCTCTTCCCCCGTCTCCCCCCCCCTCTCTCTCTCTCACTCACTGTGTGCATATATGTCACTTGTCTTTTTCTCTCTTATACATTCAAACACGCTATCCCACTTACACTCAGACAGACAAACACAGACTGATAGACAGACAGACAGACAGACAGACAGACAGACAGACAGACAGACAGACAGACACGGACAAACACCCTGCAGTTTTTCTAAATGTTCTGCTTGTTGATTTAAAAAAGAAATCGCTTCTCTCCTCCCCTCCCCCACTCCCCTCCTCCCCTCTCCCACCCCCCCCCCACCCCCGCTGTTCCCGTTCCACAGAACTGGCAAAGTTGTCACTGCAAGCACAAAATTCTCCGTTTTCGTTTACGTCGTCAAATACGTAAGTTGTCTCGGGGTTTCGATCACCATTTTTCTTTTGGAGGTTTTGGGTTTTTTTCCCCTTGTGTTTTTCGTAGCATGATTTATACGCCGTCGGCTTGCATGGCCAGTCACGGTTTCATCAGAGTGGGTGGTTGGCGGGTGCTCTGGTGTGGTTTGCTTCTTCTTTCCTGTCAAACACCTACCGTCCTTATCTCCCCTTCTTCTTTTTTTTATGTTTTTTACTCTCTTGTAACACCTCTTATCTTCTGGCGCTCAAATGACCTTATGCAGTTGCGAGCGCCGTAAAACCTCTACTAAAACTAAAACTAAGAGCCCCTTTATCTGCGTTGTCTTTTTATAGGGGGTGCCCACTTACGCGATCGGGTCGGGTCGGGTCGAGTTGATCTGGTAGTCGGGGCTAGACAAATTGAGGACGCAAAGCGGCCATCGTGACACAAACTGATCGACACGATCGGTGACCTACAAAAAAAAAAACGCGTTTGTTTTCAGGCCCACGAATCGCGCGATCAGGTGGTTTTGTAGCCAATCACAACAAGGCTGAGTCACGTGTCCATGTTGACACTCAAAATCACGTGGCGCCCTCTTCGAAAAGTGCAGATTTTGCGAACAGGGTTACTCTACTTGTGTAAAAAAAACAAACAATAAAAGCGAAACTAACAAGCTGTACTATTCCTATTCTAGAAACGAAAGAGAGCTTCAAAACAAAGACTGCAGCACCATCTGAACCAATGCACGTACTTCTGCGGACACTTTTTTGACCAAGTGAACTAGAGCTATCTTCTTATTATGAACGATTTTGATCGTTATCAATGTGACTTGTGAGGCAGCGTGGTGGAATCAGGCTCTCGTCAAAATAATGAAAATGAAGAAACTTTCATTTTTCCTCAGGTTTGTGAATTTTTATCAAATTTTTGTTTTTTGGCTCAACACCTTTCATGCCCATTCAAAAACTCATTTCTGGGTTCATTTTTCTGAAAAAATTTGTTTAAAGGCACAAAAAAGTAAATGTTCAGTTACCTCGGACTCTTAAGCTAAGGAAACAACTAATCTTTGGTTTCCATTTTCTCACTAATGTTACCTCTGAAAACAGGTGTCCCCCACCTCCTTCTTTAGCAAATATCTCAACTTGTATTCAAGATAAATGGATACTTTTTTCGTCCAAATAAAGCCAAGTGAACAAGCTTTAAAATTATACCAATAACTCTACATGCGCAAAAATTGACGAGAGCCTGATTCCACCACGTTGCCTCACCTATAGTAACCATGTTTATGGGGTTCCAGGCTGCCGCAGCACTGCAACAGGGAACTGTGGAAAGGAGTCCTGGAAGCCATTGAGGTTAAAAGTTTCTCTACTTTAACTTCCAGGTAGTCGGGTACAATCGCGGCGGAGTTGTAGTGTGCACTGAAGCCACCAGAAAACGACACGACCCGACAACCCGACCCGATCCGACAATCCGACCCGATCCGCTCTCGCTAGTGGGCACCCCCTATTACCGTTCATAACGTTTTTGCCAACTTTTGTGATCTTTCATCATTTTTACTTTCCACCGATGCAAATGTGTTATATCTTTTGTGCAGTGCCACGACGTGTTTTCATTGCAGTAAACATCATTTAGTTTAAGTAAGGTTTTACGGTACTCGCAACTGCGTAAGGTCATGTGAGCGTCAAGGGGTGGATGTCAACAGAGAAGTCCAAACGGGGAATTAGGCTTACCCCACGTGTCCGCTGAGACGGACATGGCCCGATCTTTTCCCGAGGGGGAAGAAAATCGTTTGGGTCGTTTCTGTCTCGTGTGTCCACCAGTTCGGACAAGACATGTCTAGACTGTTGGCCTACTGGCCGTATTATTCCGCACACTGTGTCCTAAGGCTGTGTCCTAAGGCTGTGTCCTAAGGCTGTGTCCTAAGGCTGTGTCCTCGGTACAGGGCTATAAATAGTCGAGGTCAATGAACCCAAGGCGGGAATAAGAAATGAATAGGTTTTTAAAGGAAGATTGATAAAATTGTTAATATGCGTTAAAACCAGGTGGTTTCCGCGACGATTTTGCTACCTTTGAGGCGCTGATTACGAATATGGCATTAGAATTTTAATCCACACTTAAAATTAGAATTCTTTTTAGCTCCGGCGGGGCTATGGCTCACGAGTCACGACCGGGCCCGGCCAAAATGCAGCAAGCGGCTTTCCAACCGACACGTCTTTTGTCGGGGCGTGTCGTGTCCTGTGTGTTGACACCTGTCAAACTGTCTTTTCACTGATTTCTTAGGAAATAAACGGTGCTCCATTTCAACTGCCGACTTTTCGAGAGATGGACGGGATCGGGTCGGTTGGAGTCCGTCGCAGTGGACACAAGCCATAACTCTGCTCACCTCTCTCACTTCAACAGCATAAAGTCTGCTTCGACTATCAAGGCACCCCGGAAATAAAAGTTCACAAGAGAGTGACACACATACAAAGGAAATAGAGGACAATGACGATAGGAAGGATAAGGAAAGAAAAAGCAGCAGTTCCCCATACGTTGTTCCGGCACAGTATGAGCATGACATTGATAAATTAAACCATTTACAATTCTACTGTGCATAAGAACATGTTAATATCCTCCCTTCAGTGAGTAGCACTACCCTTGGGGGATGGGGGTGGGGGTGGGATTACTTCTATTGCAGCTCCTGGTTTTACATTGGGTAATTCATAGAGTCATTAATTAATGCATTAACAAGTATTGTGAAAAAAAAAAACCCCCAACAAAAAACTACCAAACTCTTTCCCTCTTTCCCTGCATTCGACTAATTGTGTGGCAGCGTGGTGGAATCAGGCTCTCGTCAGTTTTTGGGCATGTAGAGTTATTAGTATCATCTTAAAGCTTGTTCACTTGTCTTTACTTGGATGAAAAAAGTATCCATTTATCTTGAATACAAGTCGAGATATTTACGAAAGAAAGAGGTGGGGGTCACCTGTTTTCAGAGGTAAAATTAGTGAGAAAATGGACACCAAAGGTTAGTTATTTCCTTAGCTTAAGAGTCCATGGTAACTGAAAATTTACATTTTCTGTGCCTTTAATCAACGTTTTTCCAGAAAAATCCACACAGAAATGAGTTCTGTAATGGGCATGAAAGATGTTGAGCCAAAAAAAATAAAACAAAAAATAAAACATTCACAAACCTGTGTAAAAATGCAAGTTTTTTCATTTTGATTACTTTGACGAGAGCCTGATTCCACCACGCTGCCTCACAATTTTCTAAACGTCCATCGCTTACATGACTTGCAGACAACATGAACTTATGTCCCTCAAATTGCAAGAAAACTCTTTTTTTTCCCCGATAACCCCCCCCCCCCCACACCCCCAGTTCACCTCAACTCCACTTTTCGTTTGTCCCTCAGGGCAGCTGTCGGGCCCTTGTAGAGCTCTCACCTCCTGGGTACAAGAAGCGACTGGGTGAGTCTTTGGTCCTTTATGTTGTCGAATCTTGACTAGAACTGAATGCAATATAAATGCAATATAAATGCTATATAAATGCAATTATTATAAATTATTATAACTAGAACTCTTAGGCCGGTCCCAGATTGGCTCTGTTGGTCTCACCTGTAGCTTGCCCAGCTCGCACCGTGCAAATGAACGTATACATTATCGTGTGTCTGAGCTGCGTCGCTGTATGGTCTGTCTGTTGTCAGCTGAGCTGCGCGACGCGTCAGACGTGCTATTCAACAGTGTTGTAAAAACATGTCGGATATGTGTCGCACGCAGCCTCGCTCCGTGTTTATTTTCGGCTGAAATTCTTCACAGATCATGAAAATCAGCAAGAAGTTACTATTCTTAGGTGCTTTACTATAAGGTATTGATGCTAGCCTGTTCATTTGCACTGTGCGAGCTAGGCGAGCTACAGGTCAGACCTACAGAGTCACTTTGGGACCGGCCTTACAATTGCCTTCCTGAGGTGGGGGCGTCGGTGGCCTAGTGGTTAGGATACAGGGCTCGTAATCGTGAGGTTGCGAGTTTGGGGGTTCGAGCCTTAGCTAGCTCCGACGTTGTGTCCTTGGGAAAGGCACTGAACGCGAATGTATTTCCCTCTTGGCTCGGTCCTTTCGGAGATGGACGAAAAACTCGGGGGTTTCGCCTCTTAAATAACTTAACAGTGTTGGTAGGGGCGTTAAACCTATACTATTTCATGTTTCCTTCCTGAGATGTGGTTACTTGGTGAGTCGTTTCGCTGTCAAATCTTTACTATAACCCTTCCAGTTACCTTCCTAAGGTGGGCTCACTCTGTGAGTTATGTTGCTAAATCTGTTTTACAACCTTAACAATTGCCTTCCTAAGATGGTCCCTCCTGGTGAGTCTTTGATCCTGTATGTTGTCAAGCCCTTACTATAACCCTTACAGTTACCTTCCTAAGGTGGGCTCACTCTGTCAGTAGGTTGTGTTTCGTCGCCAATAAAAGGACAGCTTACACGGTTTTCTTCCCAGAACGTCTGTTGCCTATACTATAAAAGGACAGCTTACACGGTTTTCTTCCCAGAACGTCTGTTGCCTATACTATAAAAGGACAGCTTACACGGTTTTCTTCCCAGAAAGTCTGTTGCCTATACTATAAAAGGACAGCTTACACGGTTTTCTTCCCAGAAAGTCTGTTGCCTATACTATAAAAGGACAGCTTACACGGTTTTCTTCCCAGAAAGTCTGTCGCCTATACTATAAAAGGACAGCTTACACGGTTTTCTTCCCAGAAAGTCTTCTTTCATAAGATTCCACGCTGACACGTTCGTTCCTTTTCTCTACAGGGAGCGAAACAAAGGAGGTATGTCTGTTCATGATGAAAGTCCCGACGTCCAAGCTTATAATGTGTTTTGTTTGGTTTCTGGGTTCTTTTATTTTTGATTTGTTTGTTATATTGGTACTTTTGTGTAGTTGATTAGTTAAACTTAGAGTAAATACCATCAGAACAATGACTTTGACTATAAAAAACCCCATTGTATCAAAGCTCTCTCTCTCTCTCTCTCTCTCTCTCTCTCTCTCTCTCTCTCTCTCTCTCTCTCTTTCTCTCTCTCTCTCTCTCTCTCTCTCTCTCTCTCTCTCTCTCTCACTCTCCCCTCCGTCTCTCTCGGGTACACACGCACGCACACACGGAAAACTATCAGAACCGCACATTTTCGATAAAAAGCTATCAAACCGGTGCACTTTTTGACGATATCGATAATAATAATAATAATAATAATAATAATAATAATAATAATAATAATAATAATAATAACATAATAATAATAATAATAATAATAATAATAATTTTTTAAAAAATTAATAAAAAAAATAATTTAAAAAAAAATAAATAATAATAATACTAATACTACTACTAATAATAAAATAATAATAATAATAATAATAATAATAATAATAATAATAATAATAATAATAATAATATACAACATTTACATAGCACATTTCACAAAAAAATTAGCTCAATGCACTTTACATTTGGAATACCCATTTTTTTCAGAACCTTTCTTACTACTTCCTTTCTTCTTGATACAATTGACAGCCGATTCCATCCCGCAGTTGCAGTTCTCTTGACCAAATTACTTTGTACAGCCCTCATCCAAATGTGAGGTATCGTGGTGGAATCAGGCTCTCGTCAAAATAATCAAAGTGAAGAAACTTGCATTTTTCCTCAGGTTTGGGAATTTGTATTAAATTTTTGTCTTTTGGCTCAACACCTTTCAGGCCCATTAAAGAACTCATTTATGTGTGGATTCTTTTCTGAAAAACGTTGATTAAAGATACAGAAAATGTACATTTCCAGTTACCACGGACTTTTAAGCTAAGGAAATAACTACCCTTTAGCGGTCATTTTCTCACTAATTTTTACCTCTGAAAACAGGTGACCCCCATCTCCTTCTTTTGCAAATATCTCGACTCGTTTTCAAAATAAATGGATATTTTATTTTTTTCATCCAAATAAAGACAAGTAAACAAGCCTTAAAAAGATACCAATAACTCTACATGCTCAAAAATTGACGAGAGCCTGATTCCACCACGCTGCCTCACATGTAGTGTAAAGTGCATAGAGCTTGCTTTCGAGTGGGGACATGCGCTGTACAGATGCTACTTATTACGTGTATTATTATTTCCCCATTTGCACCAGGACGAGTCCAAACCCCTGCCGCCGAGCACAGTACCGAAGTCAGTGGGCTGTGTGGTGAGGCCCTCCCTGAAGACTCAAGTGGTGAGTAAGATGAGATGAGATGGGACGAAATGAGGTGAGGTGAGGTGAGAAGAGATGAGATGGGATGAGATGGGACGAGATGGGACGAGATGGGACGAGGTGAAGTGAGATGAGATGAGATGGGACGAGGTGAGGTGAGGTGAGATGAGATGAGATGGGATGAGATGGGATGAGGTGAAATGAGATGAGATCAAATGGGATGAGGGGAAATGAGATGGGACGAAATGGGACGAAATCGGACGAGGTGAACTGAGGTATGATGAGATGAGATGAGATGAGATGGGACGAGATGGGACCAGATGGGACCAGATGGGACGAGGTGAAATGAAATGACATAAGATGAGATGAGGTGAGATTAGATGGGATGGTATGGGAGGGCATGTAATGGGATGGGATTAGATGAGATGAAATGAAATGATATGATGACGTTAGTGAGATAAGATAAGATAACATGAGATGAGAAAAGATAAGATGCTTTATTTTCCCAGTGGACAGCTTTTCTTGGCTGTACAGGAAGGGTAAACACACATGTAGAGATAAATGTCAGTGAAATTATAATATTATGCTTCTTTAATACAGCTTCAATGCGAAGAGAAAAATAAAGATGACAATAATGCATCATCATCATTATTACATGAAAGAAATCTTTCAACTACCTGCAGGAATTTATCACTCACCTTTAGAGTTATATGTGGGGTGTGCTGACAAAATGAGTTAGTTCTCGGATTTCAGCCTTATGGAAATTGATACATCAACTTGGTAGGTGAAGTTTGTACAATTTGTGAGCATGGAATAGTAAAAGACACAGTAAACTTGAACAAAATGACATAAATTGAAAATCTATAAATCTGACCCTAGTGTCGATTTTCAGCCGATATCTCCTTTCTTGGATCGTGGGAAGTAACTCATTTTGTCAGCACATCTCACATAATGAGGTATATTGATTCGAATAATACACTATGCAATAAAACGACTGTAGTAAGTGCCAGGGTTTTACGCCCCTTTCAACACAGGTTATTTCAGAGGCGGGACCTCAGAAGTTGACATTCATCTCTGATAAAAACCGAGCCCAATAATGCCCCCATGATGTTGATTTCTCTTTAGTATTTAACGATATCCAGCCAACTATCCTTATAAAGAAATTAGAAAACATGTGTTAACGTCAATTTGATATCATGGATAGGCAATTTTCTTACCTACCGATCCCAGTATGTAAAATTAAAACATTCCTTATTGACATACATGACAACAAATACAGGGGCCCCTCAAGGATGTGTTCTGCCACCAGTTTTATTCACACTATACACGGACGATTGCCAAATAAACAACAGTGACTTCAAATTGATCAAATTTGCGGATGATTCCACCATAGTTGGGCTCAGTCAGACTGAACATAACGAGACCGCTTACCGGAATTTGTACTTAACTTTTCTGAATGGAGTGAAAATGATACGCTGCTTTTACGTGTGAAAAAAGTTCAAAGAACTTGTTGTTGGCTTTAGAAAAAAGAAACTGCCCCTGCAGCCACTCGAAATTAAAAGTGAAAACGTCGAGCAAGTGTCAGACTATAAGTGTTTGGGTGTTACAACAGACAACACACTCAACTGGAGTGTCCACACTTCTCTCCTGCATAAAAAAAGTGAACAAAAGACTATTTTTTTCAAAGGAAGCTCAAGTATTTTAAAGACTGCATCTCCCCTCGACGCTTAACGGCAACAGAGGATGAACAAATAAAAGTAAGTAAGTAACCTTGCGATGTCACCATAATGTCTCCTTGAGGTCTCCGTGATGTCCACGTGACGTTTCAGGTGCAGCCTCCAGGCCGCTTGCCCTCCCTCAACATTCCCCTTGGCCTCTCTCCTCCTATGATATCCCATAACATTCCCATGATGTCTTTACCCCTACGATGTCACCATAATGTCTCCCTGATGTCTACATGATGTCCCCGTGACGTTCCAGGTACAGCTTCCAGGCCGCTTGTCTTCCCTCAACATCCCCCTTGGCCTCTCGATGGAGCGCGCCCATCAGCTGGTGACAGAGATCGTGGACAAGCCAACACGCTCCCCCTCCATCGCTCTGGACCGCTCCTTCAAAGGTCTGGAGTGAGTGGATGGCGGGTGCTCTGGTGTGGTTTGCTTCTTTTTTGTTTCCTATAAAACATCTATCGTCCTTATCTCCCCCTCCTTCTTTTTTATGTTTGTTGCTCTCTTGTAACACCTCTAATCTTCTATCTGGCGCTCATAATAATATTATGACCTTATTATGCAGTTGCGAGCGCCGTAGAATTTCTACTAAAACAAAACAAAAGGTTTGGATCCTTCTTAAGGCCCATTTGAAACGAGCCGTGCGTTTTTAAAATTTGATTTTTGTTTGTTTCTTTATTGGTCTTATTTTGGAAAGGGGGAAAGGGGAGGGGAGGGCGGAGGAGGACGAGGAGGACGAGGAGGAAAGTGGGTTGTTTTTTGGTGCTATGTCACTTTTTCTCTGTCGAATTTTGGAAGGGAGGTTTTTTGGGGTGCAGGGGGGGGGGGCGGAGGTCGGGTTTTTTCTGTTCCTTGTCCCTTTTTAGCGTGCCATGTTACTATTCAATCGTTGACTAACTACAAGAGTGGGAATGTGAGTGAGGAGATACAGCGATATTTCAACACTAAGATGGCACGATAAGAGAATGGGAATAACAGTGACTAGATCTAGATCTATTTACAAGTGTTGCGCTTTTTGTGGGTTTTTTTTTCTTTTTGTTCCCGTGTCATTTTATTTGGGTGCCAAGTTACTGATCTTACTCGTATCAGACAATCGTTGACTGTGAAAACGCTAGCGAGTAGGTGCAAAGGTATTTCATTGCTAAGATGGGTCAATAATAAAATATTATGAATTACAACGATTATGTCTATTTAAAAGGGCTGAGGGCCTTTTTTTGGTGGTTTAGTTTCTTCCGTGTTCTTTTTCGAATGCCATGTTAATGATCTTGTTCATATCAGACAATCATGACTGCAAGAGGGAGACTGTGAGTGGGTAGGTACTGTGATATTTCAACAGTAAGTGAGATATGTGAGATATGGCTCTTTTCGTCTATGCAGACGAGACGGTCAATTTAGCTTAAGATGGTCTCAAGGTTGTCTTCATGCAGCTTCTTCCTATGTTTGAAGCGCAGATTCGGTCCCAGTGCTTGAATGTCTGTGACGTAGATCGAAGCTCTGTATTTCCCCTGTTTTCCTTTCGTCGTTGGCGCCTCTCAGCCTGGTTGTTTCATAAGCTGCTCTCAAGCATTATAGTTCGTTCCTTTATCATTTTCCTCCATGTTTTCCTGTCCTCAGCTATTTCTTCCCAGATGCTAACATCTACTCCAAGCTTAGATAAGCTGTTTTTGCAGGTGTCTTTGTACCTCAATTTTGGTCTTCCTCTTGGTCTCTTTCCCTGGGCAAGTTCTCCATAGAGAAGTTGCTTCGGAATTCGGTTGTCGTCCATTCTCTTGACATGGCCCAGCCACCTCAATCTTTTTAAACACAGGAGAGTTGTCATGCTCTCGAGGTTTGCCTGTGCCAATACTTCTACATTTGTAACCTTGTCACGCCACGAAATGACTAAGACCTTGCGGCAGCATCTGAGATGGAAAATGTCGAGGCGCTTTTCTTGTCTGCTGTACAAGGTC